TAATCTATGATCAGGTGCAGGTCTCTCAGGATTTCACTAGGTTAGGGTAGCCACTGCATTTGGAGGTAAGAAATTGGACTCAAGAAAATCTGTTGTTGTTAAACATATACAGTAAGAGGAGCAGACCTGAAAGGGCTGCAGTTTTTGGAAGTAACAGATAAGTTAAATATTGCTATTTAATTATTAACTAAAGCGGGGGGGGGGGTGTCTTCTTTTTTCCTAACAAATCCTTTTAAAAACAAAAAATAAAATTAAATAAGAAAATCAGTTACAGAAGTATCAGTGCAAAATTTCAGAACACTATAAACAATTCAAGTAGAGTGGTACCTCAGGTTACATACGCTTCAGGTTACAGACTCCGCTAACCCAGAAATAGTACCTCAGGTTAAGAACTTTGCTTCAGGATGAGAACAGAAACCGTGCTCCGGCGGTGCGGCGGCAGCGGGAGGCCCCATTAGCTAAAGTGGTGCTTCAGGTTAAGAACAGTTTCAGGTTAAGAATGGACCTCCGGAACGAATTAAGTACTTAACCCGAGGTACCACTGTATCAGATAAACTGATAGTGCAAAAGCCAGTCCCACTCGAGGGATGGTGTTTCCCTTCTTGGCTGTGGTGAGGACTGCAGCGCCTGCTCCCTTCCAAGGCCTTTTCCAGTTGGCCCAGGGGGTGGGGCCCAGGCCCCACTCTCCTCAAACATTTAAAAACTTCCCTAAACAGGGCTGTCTTCAGATGTATTCTAAAAGTCAGATAGTTGTTTATTTCCTTGACATCTGAAGGGAGGGTGTTCCACAGGAAGGGTGCCACTACTGAGAAGGCCCTCTGCCTGGTTTCCTGTAACTGCTTCGCACAGTAAGGGAATCAGCAGAAGACCCTCAGAGGAGGACCTCGGTGTCTGGGATGAACAATGGGGGTGGAGACGCTCCTTCAGGTATACTGGGCTGAGGCTGTTTAGGGCTTTAAAGGTCAGCACCAACACTATGAATTGTGCTCAGAAATGTACGGGGAGCCAATGTAGGTCTTTCAAGACCAGTGTTATGTGGTCTTGGCGGCCGCCCCCAGTCACCAGTCTAGCTGCCGCGTTCTGGATTAGTTGTAGTTTCCGGGTCACCTTCAAAGGTAGCCCCACGTAGAGTGCATTGCAGTAGTCCAAGCGGGAGATAACTAGAGCATGCACCACTCTGGCGAGACAGTCTGCGGGCAGGTAGGGTCTCTGCCGGCATACCAGGCTGTTCTTATGTACTTTTACTTCTGTATTATATTTCTCCTCATAAAATCATAGAATTGTAGGAGGGGACTCCCAGGGTCATCTAGTCCACCCTCCTGCAATGCAGAAATCCTGCCCACAGTTGTCTCTGTGTGGTATCAAACCACCGACCTGCTGGCTAACAGCCAGATACACTGACCCATTGCGCTATGAGGCTTCTTAGCATAGTTCTTTCCAAATCAATCTGATAACAGCTACATATTAATATAAGAACACAATAAGAGTCTGTTTGAGCAAGCCTGGTCCAGCATCCCATTTTCACAGCAGCCACTCAGATGAATGAATGAATGAATCTTTATTTGCGCCAGCCATCAGCCATAGAAATAAAACCACAGTGCAATATACAAAGAATAGAAATAAAAAGTCAATTATATAAAATACATTTTAGGGTTTTGAAGGCCACCAGATGCATGTGGAGGACCTTTCCCCTCTTGTGGCTTCCAACAACTTATGGTATTCAGAAGCATTACTGGCCCTGTTTCCTAGAATTTTTTATTTGAAACATGAAAACAGGAAATGTGGGGGTTTTTGGGGGGGGCAGGAAGTGAAGTAAATCACAGCCACAGAGAGATCAAAGAAAGGTGCTGGTTGGGTGTTAAGGCATCTGTTTGAATGAAGAAGGTCTTGGGTCCAACTCCAAATATCTCCAGGTAGGCCTGGGAATGTCTCCCAAAACTCAGGATACTGCTATACTGAACTAGAGGGATCAACGGGCCAATTCAGTATTAGGCAACTTCCTGTGTTCCTATAATAAATTGCTGCCACAATTTAAATGCAACCCATACTTTTAGATATGTTTGGTCATTACTGCGTTTATCCTGATTGAAGAACAACACAAATTCACTTTGATCTGAAAGTCTGCCAAAGCTGGCCTTTTAGACTTAATGAAAAGCACAGATCTGTGTGTATTCAATGTGTGTTCTCTCCTTGAATTCGAAAGCATCATAATAGCTCAAGGTCTGATCACAACTTTTCTCTCCCTTTGCCCCCCACCCCCTACAGAAATGGAGTAAGATCTGCCACTGAAAAATAGGTCTTCCCTGAATACACCTTTGGTAGTGAAGGATATTGAATTGAAACAATTTTTGCAATATTTAAAAGAAAACTCAAAGCCTTGGCAACAGCTCTTCTATTTAACCTCTCTTTGGAACCAGGAAAAGAAAGTGATCTACTTGAAGCATGAGAGCAAAACCTCCTTGACACTGCATGTAATAAACAAAGGAGTCAAATGTTATTCATAGTAAGTCATGAAATAAATCTACAAGTGGCAGAATAACAGACGTTTCTTTCAATTTGTTGAGAAACAATTCAGAATATTAAATGCCTTGGTGAAAAGGCTGCCATAAATATAATTTTCTGACAAATCATTTAAAAGATCAGCTCATAGTTCAAATTTGCTTACTGCTACTTTCAAAAGCTGTCAAACCCTGCAGTAAGTTTTGTTTACTGACACTTTGCTAAATGTAGCCTTATACTACACAAATCACATATGGAAGGGTAATAAAAATGGCCAGCCTGAGTGGTCCTTTCTTGATGAAATTGAAATTTATATGTCAGAGATCACACACATTTTTCTTTACTTTAAATCATTATTGGGCAGGGAGATGAATTATAATTAAGCTTCCTTGTAATCAGTCTCAAATTTAAAGAGCTTTGAACAGAACCTTAAACAGGACCAAAATAAAATTGCCACATTTTCCAAACTTACTCGTCAAGATCAGTGCTATTTTTCTAGAAAAAGAGGTGCTGGAACTCACCAGGAACACCTCTTTCTCGTAGAATGGCAGTGGAACCCACCAGAGAGGTGCCAAAACTGAGTTCCAATGAGGTTCCAATGAGGTTCTCCTGAAAAAGCCCTGGTCAAGATAATGTTGTGTACAGAAGAGCCTTTGATCCAGCAGTGGCTACTTCTGACATCCCCTCATCCAGGCAGGTTCCCGACCCTCTACTACCTCTAACATCATTCCAGACAGTCTCTCTATGCATGTGCACACACCCTTCTCTATCCTCCATCCAGACAAGTGAGCCACATTCTCAGATTTCAGGAACATTCCAACCGGACAAACAACACCAGCACCACCACTCAAAGAGAGTTCAAGACATGATTAGCCTGGGGAGAGGTGGGTGGCTGGAGGGAGAGAGTTCCAAGAGAGGCCTGGAGGACCACATGGCACCCCCTCAGCCTGATGCTTCCAACCCCTGGTGCAGACAATACCGAGCAACAAAATCTACACAGTTCAAACACTGACTGGGAAAACTATGTTGTTCTGATAGCCTCTTCCCAGTGGAAAGTAAGATTCAGCCATAGCCGACTGAGTTAAGGATGAGAGATAATCCTTCATTCTGTATTTCTGGCTTTTGCCAGTTTAATCTAGACCCGTAATTGTATTTTAATATAGTTTTTAGAATATATAAAAAAGCTAAAGCAAATGATAACCTAAGTCCCTGGACATGTTCATTGTTGTAAGTAAAGCAGTTGTGCCAGATGTTCAGAGATTATTGATGTGAAGGGAGAGAGAAAAGACAGTGCAAGGAAGAGGGAAGGGAGCTGATTGTATGTTGGGGGGCTGGCCCTCAGTATTACAACCTCCTTCCCTTCCTCCTCTGATTGGTGGGGGGGGGAATATGGTAACAGCTTGAAAGAAGCTCTTGCACAGAGCTTCTTGGATCACACAAAACA